CTATCCAGTTGCGGATCATCAACATGGATTCCGTAAGCAACACAGTACAACAACAGCGTTGCACGCCATTTCCACGCATATAAGTAGAGGACTTAACCAGAACCGGCCGTGCGATAGAACAGTGTTGGTAGCGCTTGACCTATCAAAAGCCTTTGATACTGTCAACCATGCCACGCTGTTTGAGGACATAGAGAACACTTCCCTCCGGCCGAGTTTGAAACGTTGGATAATCAACTATATGTGTGGACGCCAGTCGTACGTGGAGTTCCGGAACAAGAAGTCCAAACCCCGTAGAGTTAAACAGGGAGTTCCCCAGGGTGGAGTGATTTCTCCGGAACTGTTTAACCTCTACCTTTCCGGTATTCCACGCCCTCCGGACGGCATTGAAATCGTTACGTATGCAGATGATTGTACGATTATGGCGTCGGGTCCCATTGTTGAAGACATATGTGTGAGGTTCAACGCCTATCTCATCGATTTGGCAGCCTTCTTCAAAGCGAGGAATATGAAAATATCCGCCTCGAAGTCGTCAGCCACACTATTCACCACATGGACTGCGGAGATGAGAATGCCGTTGAATGTGCAGGTCGAGGGGCATACAATTCCGACCACCAACTACCCCAAAATACTTGGGGTCACATTCGACAGCATGTTTAAGTGCCGGCAGCACTTGGGGCGCAGATAAGGAAACCTTGTTGACCTCTTACAAAGCGATAGGTCGGTCTGTGGCTAGCTATGCGGTTCCAGTGTGGTCTGCGAATTCTAGTGATACGCAATGGAGAAATATTCAGACCTGTCAGAATGCCGCCCTGAGGACAGCGACAGGGTGCCTCCTTATGACACCAGTGGACCATCTTCATGAGGAGACGAAGATCCTTCCCGTACGTCAGCATAGCAATATGCTTTCGTTGCAGTACCTGCTCGGGTGTTTCAGGGACGATCATCCCAACCATCATATGGTGGATAGGACTCCCCCACCCAGGCGTGTCAGGAAGGATCTGCATGATCTAGAGAGAGAGGTCCAACGATACAAAAGGGAGCCTCTAGATCAAGTTGCCTATCGAGCAGGTTTGAATGGCATTCATACAGATGCAGTAGCCGCAGCGCTGAACGGTTACAAAGTGAATGCCGTCCTCGGAGCTCACCCCCCACCCATAGCAGCTGAAGAACGTCAGCTGCCTAGACAAACCAGAGTAGTTTTGGCTCAGTTACGTTCTGGATGATGCAGTCGGCTCAATTCGTATTGGGCACGGATTGATGACCAGGTGCAGGATGTCTGCCCAGCATGTGGTACAGGCCCTCATACCACACTGCACTTGTTCAATTGCCCAGCCAAACCTACTCACCTCACTCCGGAAGATCTGTGGTTACAGCCAGTGGAGGTAGCTGCATTTCTGAATCTGGAGACAGAACTGGAGGAAACATAACAGAAAACATGCAATTCATATAAACTGCTACAACAACAACAACAGAAAGCTCGTCAGCTCCTTCATTTATATTTCGCTATGGACTGGATAAAGAATAACAAACTGACGCAAATCTTCATGACTTCCTAACAAATTGGCGTGTCCCGTATGTAAATATCGCAACACCATATCACCTTCTGTCTAAATGCTCTTCTGTTTGCTTGGAAACAACCTAAACCAGTAAGGAAATGAGTAAAGTCGGACGGGGCCGACTATATGATACTCTTCACCCCATTGGGTATATTCAACAGATGAATTCTAACAGACGTATAATTGTAAAGTAAATATCAATTATTTGGATAAATATCTGATAAACATGAGGGGTTTGATGCACCATTTACTTAAAATCGGACGAAAATATATATAAAAACTATATCGAAATCTAAACCAATGTCATCGAAACTTGTCGCAGGTTATGTTATACTAATTTCAGTATGTTTTGTGCATATCGGCCACATTTCGACTTCTTGGTGCATCATTTACTTAACCCGAATAGTGCTGTAATTATTTTTTTCGAATTGTGGGACGAAACTTTCAGCGTCTCTAGATTGTAGGCCACTGAATTCAAAAATTTGATTTGTATCCTTTTTTCTTATCAGGATAATCGACAGGATCCATTTTTGGGCAGTGACCGTCTGCTCACAGGTTTTTTAAATTATTAATTGTTGATCGTATTATGAGTGTGACCTTATGGTCACGCTAGCACAGCTCGCGTTGAACAACATTTCGTGTAAAATCGGACGAAAATATATATGTAGAAGCTATATCTAAATCTGAACCGATTTCAACGAGACTTGCCAGAGATTAACTTATATTAGCTACAGTTCATTGTACAAAATTGTGTGGCAATCGGACAAACTTTGGGTCTTTATTTACATAATCTGAACCAAAACTTAGCACACATCATTCTAGACCTTATTCAGTACGCTATGACAAATTTTGTGCAAATAAATTAAATCCGTAGGAGAGCTATATCTATATCTGAACTGATTTTCACGAAATTTAACATACATCATTCTAGACCTAATTCAGTACACTATGCCAAATTTCATGCAAATCGAATGATATATAGGGACTCTGGTACAACATTTACATAAAATCGGACGAAAATATATATGGGAGCTAAATCCAAATCTGAACCGATTTTCAGAAAACTTGACACACACCATTCTAGACTAAATTCATTACCCCATGCAAATCGAAAGATATATAGGGGCTTTGGTATACCATTTACATTAAATCGGACGAAAATATATATGGGAGCTATATATAAATCTGAACCAATTTCCACGAAACTTAAGACACATCATTCAAGACTTTAGTCAGTACCCTATGCCAAATTTCGTGCAAATCGAAAGATATATAGGGACTTTGGTACACCATTTACCTTAAATCGGACGAAAATATATATGGGAGCTATATCCAAATCTGAGCCGATTTTCAGGAAACTTGACACACATCACTCTAGGCCTAAATCATTACGCTGTACCAAATTTCGTACAAATCGAATGATATATATAGACCGTTTACATTAAATCGGACCGTTTACATTAAAACGCTTACATGAGTAGACGAAGATCCCTCTTGTGCGTCAACACAAGAAAATTTTATCGATACAATACCTGCTTGGTTGTAAACAACCATCCAAACCATTACCTAAGGCATTCACATGCCATGGTATGTCAGGAGTGATTTTCATGACATGGAAAGAGAGCTCCAGACGTACAAAAGAGAGTCTCTAGATCAACGGACCGTTCAAGCTTGATTAATCGTATTGACACTGATTCAATTGAGGAATCAATTCGGCTGAATACAATTTTGGAGAAACCCTGCCACCAATAGCTCATCACTTTGGATACAAAAAGTGCAAGTCGCAGCCTTTTTGAAGCTAAGAAGCAGAACAAGTAAAAATTTCGTTAAGTTCGGCCGGCCAGAACTTTTTAAACCTTTAACCATGAGGTGGGCATTTAAAATATCTGTCAGTCATGGTTTATGTCATGGCATTTTTTAGTAGAAAGTTTTGAGACCCAATGCTACCCAATGAGAATTCAAAATACTAAATTATAGCGAATTTGGTGGAAAAACGTGTCTTAACTCCCCAAAATACTGAACAGGAAGGTACCGTAATATACGAGTTATCCCAATAGGTAGACTTATGATGCCGAGATATTTAATTTCCATCCAATGTTGGTACGAGTAACGTTAGGATCTAGATATATCCAAAAATCCATCCGATAAGAATAAGTTACTTATAATAATAGTCGTATATATGTAATAAATAAAGAAAACTTTTTAAATTTTAGAACATAATATTGTTTTATTTGTTTTCTTTTAAAATTTGTTATTGTTCACAGATATAATTTGATCGTTAGCATTTGCATTAACATTCAAATAGTGGGGCATAACAAATTTTCAGCAGTAATTCAACAACAAATATACATACAGTGTTATATTGTTATATTGGTCTGTTGTTATACATACATACTTTAAATAATATCAATTTGTTGTCATAATATAAACATTTATTTATATCCATTCGAATATCAATGTATACATATGATTATAGCTACTAAGGAAATGAAAAAACTCTCATCTATTTTCTTTTATTCAAATCTCATTTATATATTACATTGATTGAATCTATTCGATAACCTTTTGCAGCATTATAAATAATAGAGAAGAAATGCAAAGGGAAATTGGGAGTTAATTAGACAAAATTCATAGCTCTTCTAAAATTATTAAATTATTATAAGGAAAATAAGCATAAAATTTAGTTTGTTTATATTAAATTAAAAATAAAATAAAAAAATTAACGTACAAAATAAAATTTGTAATTCAATAAAAAGAAAGAGAACTTAAAACTAGGATGCCACAAATAAAGTAGTATTTGTTTGATATAGATTACTACTTTATGAGGCAATAACTGGTTGGTTTGTTTGTCTTGTTTTGTGTGATGAAGTGTAAAAAATGATTAATTAATTAAAATAATATTTAAAAAATACTTATATGTACATGTTAAAACCTAATTTCATGCAAAATAAAAAATATATATTTAGTTTTTTTTTCTATAAGGGGTTGTTCAGGCATTGGCAATAGGGTGACATATATCAGGGGGATGCATTAAAAAATCGTTTTTGTTCAACATTTGTTACAAAGAACTAAATTGTTTGTTCAGTTTTGCTATCTATAGACGGGACGGTTGAATCATTTACAACACAATATCTGAAAAAATCTTCTAATAACAAAAATTATCGTGATAGTATTTAGTTGTAAACATAATTATATATATTTTTTTGTATAGCATATCATATGTTTGTTGATAAATATTGTATTGTACTGTTTGATCACAAAAATAGAACAGGGGGTTTTTTATAAAAATTCTTATAATCATTCCTTTAGCTAAATTTAGATTGTTTTTTAGTAGTAATACTTCTTTTTATAGGGCAATGGAATGGTATGATGTGGATGCTTATTGTGGTGATGGTATACAGGGGTTATTTCATAGGGCTTGGAGCGATTCTACAGTTTTCCCATTTACGATGTAGATTCCAATAAAACAGCTGCCGCCAATTCCAAACTCCAGCCGGTTTTCTGCAATGCTTGCTCACACAGTGGTCGATTAGCAACACCCAATCTGTAAGAGAAAAGTAAAATTAGCGAATAATTACATTTACGGTAATAAGGAGTTCTATGTCGATGATCGAAAAAGTTGTATAAGATTGAAAGCTGTTCGTTTATATATTTAGAATCAGGAAGGATTATTTTCTGTGACCCTATAGTTATTAAATATTTTTCTTCCTTCAAATCCAACATTACAGACTTATAACCTTTATTATTCTCTTAAAAATATCCCAGATGTCCCAATCTGTCACTCTATCGAAGTTAGATGAAGACAAACTAAACAAGTGCAGTGGGACATTTGTCGATCGAAAAAGCTCTAATTTCTGCGACAAATGAGAATGGAGAAAATCAAGCCAACTCTAAGAAGAAGAACGTAAAAAATCTACACAAAAACATGTCTATAACAACATTAGGTTTTATATCTGTACAGGCCTAAAGAAAGTTTTCTATCTATAGAAACGAGTTATAGAAGGTAGCAATTGTGTCAGAATACCATCAAATGTAGAAGAGGATAAATAAGTCTCCAAAGGTTCTAGCACTGAAGTACAAAACGTCTTTACAAAAGAGCAGAAAGTATTTACAGTAAAATAAAATGTGTCATAGAAGTCCGATACACTGCAAATTTTTATAAGGCACCATAAGAACTGATGGAAAAGACGATTTTTATTAGAGAATATCAAATAGAAATTTAAAAGACAAAATGCTATATAGGTAGCAAATGTTTTATAAAAGTACTTATCATATAAATTTCAAGATTTTAAGGAGGATTGTTGAAAGGCCCAAAAGTCTTTAGGCAGAACAAATATCTTCAAAACTTCTTTTAAAAGATCACAAATTTGCTCGGATACTACCATAATGTCAAAAGATCTTATAGATGACTAATATCATTTCTAAAAGCCCTACCTAATAATAAATAAGAAAAATCAGAAAGAATATACATGCTCTAAAGAGAGGTCCTTTAAATCTGTCCAAGGCTTTCGATACGGTCGATCATTTCGAGCTGAAATTACATCACCAATTCTACGCTTCCGAGTGATATTAAGCGTTGCGTTCCGTGGCCAGGTCGGTGTCCTATCTCACTCTACCAAATGGTTTAGTGGTGTGGTACGCCGAGGTACGGTTATTTTCTCCAGCTTTAACATTGACGACGTAAATGCAAAAATTTTCAACTACTTAGGCACCAAGTACTTGAGAATATCAAATAGAAATTTATAAGATAAAATGCTATATAGGTAGCAAATGTTTTATAAAAGTACTTATCATAAAAATGTCAAGATTTTAAGGAGAATTGTTGAAAGGCCCAAAAGTCTTTAGGCAGAACAAATATCTTCAAAACTTCTTTTAAAAGATCACAATTTTGTTCGGATACTACCATAATGTCAAAAGATCTTATAGATGACTAAGATCATTTCTAAAAGCCACACGGTCCTACCTTATAATAAATAAGAAACATCAGAAAGAATATACATGCTCTAAAGAGAGGTCCTTTAGATCTGTCCAAGGCTTTCGATACGGATCGAGGTGAAATTACATCACAAATTTCACGCTTCCGAGTGATATGAAGTGTTGCGTTCCGTGGCCAGGTCGGTGTCCTATTTCCCTCTACCAAATGGTTCAGTGGTGTGGTATGTCGATGTGCGGTTATTTTCTCCAGCTTTAACATTGATGACGTAAATGCAAAAATGTTCAACTACTTAGGTACCAAGTACTTGATATAACCTATATACTATAACCTCATTCATTTCTCCTCGCACTCCAACTAAGTCAACCAGAAGGTTGGGAATAAAGGTCTGAAACCATTGGCTGGCACCTCCTGGGCCAAGTATAAAGAAACGTTGGTAACGACATACAAGGCGATCTGTCGTTTCATCCTTAATTATGCTGCCCCGGTCTAATCTTCTTTCCTTAGCGACACATAATATTGACCTTTCCAAACAACTTAAAAATGCACTCCGAATTCCAAACAGTTATGTCCAGATAACAGCGTCAATCACCGCCATGAGGAGACCAGGATGCTGTCAGTCAAGCCAGACAATGTGTTGACTCGACAGTTCCTACTGGCATGATATCTTCCGTGTCATTCCAACAATCGCACAGTGATGGCTGATCCACATCCGTCGTGATGGCATCCAAGACGTCATACCATCGAACATCAACAGATCGTCGATAGCGAATTTATGACTTCGGGGATCTACCGTTGATCCATGGATTTCAGCAAAAACAGCCATAAATGTCTGCGGATGCAACAAAGTCTTACTCCAACATCCTCCTACAATTTCAGGCTGTAAGAGGCATTTACGTAGGCAAACTCGTTCGATTCTGGTATATCAATCTTCTCAATTCCTATAGAATCTTAAATAGGAGTCCCTCTTGTCTTACGACACACACTCTTTTCAATTGTCCGTCCGAGCCTACAAGCCAATAGAGGTGACACAATTTCTCTCAACAAAGTCTTACTCCAACATCTTCCTAAAATTTCCGACAGTAAGAGGTTTTTCCGTAGGCAAACTCGTTCGATTCCTGTATATACATCTTCTCAATTTCTATAGAGGGCGCATTGTCCCCGGAATCCAAAATAGGTGTCCCTACTGCAAGTAAAGCCCTTACGACTCACCCTGTATTCAATTGTCCGTCCGAGCCTACAATACAATAGAGGTGGCACAATTTCTCCAGCGATCACCTTCAAATCCTAATTCCATAAATATATTTTCCTTTATTCTATTTCTCCTAACCATATTTTTAAGAAAGAACTTTAACCAACAGTCAACCTCTTACAACAACAACAATCTGACCTACGACATGAATTCAACTAGGTCAGGCATTGTCAATTCAGCGACAACTGTAGCAAACGAAGGAGCTAATCAAATCGGCAGCATTGCTCGCCATTCTCCAGGAAAGAACTTTTGACTAAACAACAACTAAAGAATAACATTTAAAAAAGTCGTTAAGTTCGGTCGGGCTGACCTGTTTATAACTAAATCATTATTGGGACCCTAAAATGAAGTATCGAATTACAGATACATATGCTGGAAAATCGGCTAGAGCCATAAAAATATATGGGTGGAATCATTATATAGAGACTATGCCACAACATTAACCTGCATTGAAAATTATCTGACAAGATCAGAATCACGAATGCTTACTTATTGCAAAATGAGGGTAGGACGATCAAAATATCTATGGGATCAATTCCAAAATATGGACCAATTTTGAAAATGTTATTAAAATAAGTTTTCTACACCAATAATGCCAAGTTACTGTCACTTCGGTTACGTCCAAGAACCAACAATGCTAAATTATAGAGCTTTCGATTGGAAAACTCGGCCAAAACGTTCAAAATACTGAAAATGGTGTTCAATATACAAAACCCTTAAAATATGTATTTATAATTTATCGGTTCTTGAGACGAATATTTCGAGGTGTTGCAACGTTTTGTTAGTTATTCGTAATCTTTTCTTCATATTATTCAAAATTATTCTTCACCGCCCGTTCGATAAATCGCATTCTTACCTTGACAACTGATCAATTTTATAATGCCGTATGGCCAATGTTGTATCACCACTTGCAGCACGCAATGCATTGCGTACATCAATTTCCTGAGCATTTGGTCCAAGATCTTGCATCATTTGTTGCAGTTTTTGTTGTTCCCTTTCGTATTCGGATGGTATGGGGGCATACAGATTATTACTACCCTCCATTTGGGCTTCTTGTTGTCGTTTTAGTTTTTCCAAACGACGTTGAATTTGTTGGGCCGATAATTGTGGTGGTGCCAATGGTGCCGGACGATGTGGTCTAAGATAATCATCACCTGCAACTTCATCATAAATTGCCGGTTGACCACCACCGTTGGAATAAATTTGTCCATTGCCCGACATATGACTGAGAGGCACTTGTCCATAATATGTTGAAGGTGTGGGAGCGACTGAGTCATATATACCCGGACCCGTAACACTACCATAGATGGATGCTGATGAGGCATAGATTTGATTTGCTGTTTTAGGCGGGACAACACGATTTGAAACGGCCACAAAACCATGATTGGCTTCTTGGCTGGTGCTTGTGGTGATGGCGGCGGCAGGAGTGGCTTGATAAATTCCCTGATTGGAATATATATTCTCGGCTGTGGGTTGGGCATAATACTCCGATTGATTGGCAACACGTTCATACCAGATGCGATTAACAACACTTTGCGTCGTATTGGAGACGCCACTGGCAGCTGTGGCATTTTCTAGATTATTTTGTTTTTGCATCTCCTGATTGCTGGCGGCATATATTGAACTGCTAGCATATTGACTCTGCCTATCGGTGTTGTGCATTTTTGGCGAAGCACCATTGTTCGAGGAGGGACTTGAATTATTCGAAAGAGAATTTGAGGAATTTTTCAATGGTGTTAAATTTTGTTTATTGGCATAGACAGCTTCTTTGTTCGCGTACATTTGTGTTGTGTTACGTTCAAAATCATTATGTCCCTTATTCGAATACATATCCTTTTCCAGTTCGGCTATGAAGTTTTTATCCAAAACAACTTGGGCATCATTCACAGTGGTTTGTTGCGTTTGTTTTTCCAGCGAAAGGGTACTTAGATTTTTCTGCAACGCTGAATCCTCTGCGGCAGATATTGCGGAAGCTTGTTGTGTTTGCAACGCTTCGTATTGCCTAAGGCTTGGAAGATTTTGTGTTGTTTCATTTGTTATCTGTGGTATATTTTCTTTGTTACCCGTTATGGAGATGTTGGAAGATGATGTTGAATTGGGTACAGCGCCGCCGCCGAAAAGACTTTTTCGTGCAGCTGGACTATTGTAGTTGGAATTGGAATTTTGCAGGGAAGTATTTCTGAAAAGAATGGCAAAAATCGGTAGTTAGTATTGAAGACAAAAAAGGGGTAATATTAGATCATAACATTTTAGAAAATATGCAAAGGCCTCACAAAGTTTTTTTAGAAAAAGATCTTACAGTACGTTTACATTTAACCGGATTTCGTTAACTCAGTGGGTTTCAATTGTCATTTCCTTTGCACATATGTCAAATAAATCCTCATAAAGTAGGTTAACCCGGTAAAAAGTTCTAATGTACAAGGAGTTTTAAATGTAGTATTAGAAAAGACAAAATGACTTTAAAACCCTAAGAATAACCTTAAAGAAGACAATAAAAGCTTTTAGAAAGTCATCATAGAAACCATAGAAAACGGCTATTTTGTATTTTGCCTTTATTTCTAATTTTTATTTTCATAAACGTAAACAAATTTGACAATAATCAATTTGTTTTCTACAGCATTGCCATATTGAAATTGCTTAATTCAGTATAAATTCAGTTTCATTTTGTGCATTTACAACACATAAAATTGAGGATAATGTTCAAGTTAATTTGAATTAAGGCTGTTAATGCAAATTAAGGCTGTCGTCTGTCTAGGCTATTAGAGTCTTATAAAAAGGAAGAAACCTCAAAAGGGCCAGACAGCTTTGCAGAATATTAAAAGGCCATGAGTTCTTTTAGAAGCCCAGTAATCCCCAAAAAGTTCATAAGGACACATAGAAAGTCAATAGATTTTATGGAAAAACAAAAATGTCTCACAGAAGAAGAACCAAGGTACGATTATGGATAAAAGGTCTCCGAAAATATCAAAATCCCTCTTACCTTAAAGGAGTATCCTGTTGTTGTTGAATTTTCATAACATTCGAGTATAAGGCATTAATATCATCATTATTAGACCCAGCTGACTGATTGCTGGATGTACCATTTATATTTATTTTGCTTGTATCAAATGGATCGCTACCACGTTGTTGTTGCTGCTGACTAAATTCCAATGTATTTGAATAGGTGGGTGGCATTTGATATGGAGGTGGATGCAAACGTGAAGGGGAAGCACCAGCAAATTCAAATTGTGTTTGTGATTGCATTTGTGTCGTAGGCATTGTTGGGGTATGTGGCATTACAGATGTATTGTCATTATCCAAATATTCACCGTCTCCCTCTGTGGGTACATCTATGGGTGCATCGAGTATACAAAACGAACTATCAACATGCATTGAGGCACTTTCACCCAAATGCAATAGGGGTCCCTGTTGAGGTGGCCCTACACCACCAAATTCCGGTGATATGTCAATAAGCAAACCCTCCTGTTGTTGCTGTTGTTGGGGTGGTGGAGGCCTTTGTGGTCCTTTTTTTTTGTTGCCTTGCTGCTGTTGTTGTTGCTGTTGATATCTTTGCATTTCCACAGCCCTTTCATTAACCAATTTATTGTAGGAAAATTGTTTATTCACCACAGACTTTCGTTCTTTGGCATGGTGGAGTTGTTGCATGGAATGTGCCTGCAAGGAGTTGGTTTTGCGAGCCCTCTCTGCATGCATTTCACTTGCAGTAGGAGCCATGGTACCAGCACCACCCCAACAAAAACCAAATGGGGAACCTGAATGACCCGTTGCACGAAGGCTTTCGTGATTATGACGTATGAGATCACTATTCGTTGGCTTGCTCTTCTCCAAAATGTGACGTGGAAAAATGCCAATATCAAATGTTCTTTGGTTTTGTCCTTTGATCAATTTTAATTCGGGACGGCCATCAATGATGGCAATGCTGTCGCCGGCCTCAATCGCCAAACGATTGGGTTCGTTAAAGGCTTTGGCTGCTTTGACAACCTGGGGTGAGACACCAACTAAAAATTCTCTGAAATTAAAAGAGGAAATTTAAATCAAAAGTTTTGGTAAAGTAGCGCATTATTACTCACTTGATGGCCGCAAAGGTGGGCCTCTCAGCCGGTGTCTTATCCCAACACTGTAACATCAATTCATAGACATCTGGTGGACAGGCATCGGGATGATGTAACCGTTCTCCTTCCCTATCAATTTTACGTAAAATTTGTGAACCATTCAAACCCACCCAGGGATCTTCACCAAATGTAAACATTTCCCATAGAGTTACACCAAACATCCAGGTATCTGAGGCATGTGAAAATTGTCGAAATCTTAAAGATTCTGGAGCACACCAGGGGAAAGGAACTTTTTTATGTTCTGACATAACATAGCAGTCGTCCTCCTGGGGTAGAGCACGCATTAGCCCGAAATCACCAATCTTAATTTTATTCCCCGAGGCCAATAGGACATTACGGCAAGCCAAATCGCGATGAAGAAAACGTTTTTGTTCTAAATAGGCCATCCCAGTGGCAATTTGTACCGACCAATTCCATATTGTGGTGAGCGGGGTGTGTTTCAACTGTTTACGCAAGGTATCCAACAGGGAACCTCTTTCGGCCAACTCCGTAATCATCATCATGGGTTGAGATAGCACCACACCATATAAACGCACCAAATTTGAATGGTCCAAGGCATGCATAGCCTGGACTTCACGGAAGAAATCCTCTATGATGCCGGGTTGGGTTAAATTGTCAGCCTTAAGGACCTGTAAGGTGAGAATTATATTTATTATTCAAACATTTCAAATTCGGCATATTTCATGGAGTCATACTTTAACTGCAACCGGTAAGGTTTTTCCATTTGGAGCTGTTAGCCATTCACCTTTACGCACCACACCAAATGATCCATCACCCAATTTTTGATGCAGTGTGATGTCCTTTTCGTGTATCAGACAGGTTAGCTGAGTATTTTGTTGTTCTTTGTTGTTGGTATTTGATGACTTTTTCGAGGAGGGTTGTTTACCGCCACCAATCAATTTAGAGAGAATATTTTTACGCCATTGTTGAGCCTTTTTCTTGCGGACTGCCTCCATCAGACGTCTTATGGCCGGCTTACCCAAACCACAACGTTCCAAATCTTCCGGCTGTACATAATCGAAATGGGCAAGGCGTGACACTTGCAAATCATCTCGTATACGTTCTAGGAACTGTTCTAGTTGAACTTCTTTTAGGAGATCTTCTAACCATTCGGTGTCTGTGACACTGTCTAAATGACTAGCAGAAGACATAATGGTGGTGGTGGTTGTTGGTTGGTTGTAGTGGAACTATTTTTTAAAATCTAGGAATCTGAAAAGAAAATAATGAAAATGGATTGGAATTAGTTATTGAAAATGCAATTAAATTAATTTAATAATTATTAAAATTGCAAAATGTGTTCACATTTGAAGACGTTTGGTTTCTGCTCTTTTATATGCAAATGTTAAGAGAGCACCAATATAGAAATTCAAAGAGAATTTAGTTGAGGCAAACCACGACAAATCATCTGAAGAGAAAACTATTTTTTACTCTTTCAATACTCTTTAAAGCAGAGCTTATTTTTCAAAGCCGCCGCCTTTTATATTCAACTTTTTGTGTTTGACAACCTCTCCCAATCCAAAACCTCCAAAAGTTAGTTCTGGTTTTTATTTAATTGACCTACAAATAAATCGATAAAACAACAACACAAAAATGTAAACAAACAAAAAAAGAAACAAAAACAAATCATGAAAACGAATGACAAGCAAACCAAATAAAGGGAAATAAACACTAACGAAATCGTGCACAAAAGCGTGTAGAAAAATAATAATAAAAAAACAGATTTTATTTTGTTTACAAAAAAATAAAAAAGACAAATTCACGCCAAGGAAAATAAAAAAAATTCAAAGTGGACAGCAAACACAAACGAAGGTGGTATACAAATTTGGTTAAATAGATAGAAAATTCCGTTTATGATGAAAATGTAGAATGTTGTTACGGACTCGAAAAAATATCATTGAAAAAGTCTCAAATTGAATCCCGCGTAAAGGGTTCAGAACTAGGATCGAATCTAATGTAAGGAGTTGGGCCCACGAGAGCCCATCTCACCAGTCCCTAATAATATTGAAAGAATCCTAACAAAATTTCACAATTTCAAAATAAACGGGTCATATAAATTACAAAATCAAAGCAGATTTAAGCCAAAGTATCATTGCTGTTTATTAATTTCCTTCATTATAGTGATGCCTCAAAATGAGAAATGTTTTGAGGAAAAATATTATAAAAACATATAGTTGCTGAAGTAATCAATTTTTGTCCACCTGACGATTATTAAAATATCCACCGCAAACAGTTACACTGTAAGTGCTATCTTTGACAGCACAGTAGAAATTATCTTCAGAATAGCTTCAGGTAGATCAAAACAGTGTGAAGTCCTCGTAGCACAAAATTGACATATTGGGAGTGCTCCATGGTGTGGTTATATCTCCGGAGCTGTTTATCCTCTACCTTTCCCGTGTTCCACTTCTTCCAGACGGCAATCATATCGTTACGTATGCAGATGATTGTACGATCATGGTGTCGGGTTCTATCGTTGAGGACATGTGTGCAAGGTTGAATGGCTATATCGGCGATTTAGCAACCTTCTTCCATGCGAGGAATATGAAAATATCCGCCATTGTTCACCACATGGACTGCGGAGATGAAAATGTCATTGAATGTTCAATCGCCCTCCCAAAACACAACTGTCTGCGATAACTTGAAAAGTAGAAACAAGGTTCTTGCTGACAGCACTTGTGCAGCAGACAAAAGAAACCTTGTAAAGAACATATACAGAAATAGGCCGGTCTGTGGTAAACTACTATGCGGATCCATTGTGGTCATTCAACATTAGTGCAACACAATGGAAAAATATTCAATCCTGACTATACCGCCATGAAGACTGCAACAGTATGCCTCCTCATGACTCCAATAGACCACTTACATGAGGAGACAAAGATTCTTTCCGTGCGTCAACACAACAAGATGTTGTCGATGTAGTAGCCATACCAAACTATGAAGAGGGAGATCCAGAGGCACAAAACATAATCTCTATATTTAATTGAATCGTATTCTCACTGATGCAGTTTAGGAAGAAATTCGGACTACTCCCAGTTTTCTACTCCTGTGGAGGGGCTATTGTGGTTGACTTCGCGCGTGACCTATGAATCCTATTTATTAAGAAGTCACTCGCAATATCATTCGGATAGTGAAGTTCTAAATGCCCCGCCCGATAAACAGGTTGCAGAAATTAACTGCGCTCCGGTATCTTTTCTTATCAGAGATCTATTTGACATTGACGCGTTTGGTAGTTCCCCTCTATATTTTGACGGCCAACTGGGATATTCTCCTTAGCCAAGAATTGTGTCCATTCTCATCATCGAATAAGACTCTGATTTGGGGGAGTAACTAGGATAGCCATCGAGTTAATCGCCGTAGTTTTAATCACAGTGGTATCTATAGCGTTTCCTTCGTCTGTCAAGTTTTAGTTATACCAGGGTTGGGTCGGGATACTCTCATGACTAGGGCGGAAAGAGCCCATTTCCTCAACAAGGTCGAGGAAAAGGTCCGTATGCCGCTCTAGGCTTGCATTGACATCATCGACAGAAATGGGGTTTGATGAGGCAAAAGAATGGTCCGTTGCATTAGGATTCGTCGTCATCGTTTGTAGAAGTTGATAGTATTCTGACCTTGTAGAGTTTGAGGCATTTAGGCTCCATAATAAGTTTTGGCGAGCGAGGACTGAGGTCAGCCATGGAATAGCCCCAGCGTTAGAAAGGTCACTTAGGAAGATAGTGACCTAAGTCCTGAGAATTGGATATTTGGGGCGTGATTCTCGCCTCGTTATTTTTATACCTTACAGTAAGTTTCAGCGAACCTCAAACACGACTATATTATCCTCAATAGATTAGCTCTATATTTCGGTTGAAACAATAAATGGATGGAGTTAAAGGCACAACGCCAGGACGCGATAATGTTTCGTATCCAATGTTGAAGAATCTATCTAACAAGAGCAAACATAAATTAATTTCTTTTTACAACTCGGTCTTTGATACCGGAATCATCCCCCATTCATGGAAATCGGCAGTCATAGTTCCTTTGCCCAAACCAAATAAAAGTAAAACGGAGTTTTCTGTATACCGGCCTATATCTTTGCTGCCCTGCCTGTCTAAACTGTTGGAAAGGATAATCTCCAACCGCTTATCATGGTTTTTGAATGCTCGCAATTTAATTTCTATTAATCAAGTTGCTTATAAAGCAAACCAAGGTTGTACAGACGTACTTTTACACATCGACTTTTATGCATCCAAATCCATATCAGCAAGAAGTCACACATCAGTACTTTCGATAGACTTTGAAAAAGCATTTGATCGCATCGGTATACATATAATATTAGATTCGCTGAAATCATGGGGAGTTGGAAGGAAAATTTTAAATTTCATCAAGTCATTTTTGACTGGGCGCACTTTTAAAGTCAAAATCAATAACTATTACTCAATGCAGTTTGCTATGAATAATGGTATACCTCAAGGGTCACCACTGTCGGTAGTGCTTTTTCAAATAGCCTTTAACCAAATCAGCAACATCATAAACAAATATCCTAAAATATATCATTGCCTTTACGCTGACGACCTATACATTCTGAGCTCGAATAAAGATAACGATGCTGCCAACATTCAATTTTCTAACATTATAAATGATATCAACACTTGGGCCAAAACATCTGGTGCCAAAATCTCTCCTACAAAATCTTCAATTCTACATATATGTCGGAAGCATAGCTGTAAACCCACCAACATAATAATCAACGGTGTTAGCATTCCCTACGTCAAGAAGCTTAAGATCCTGGGTGTAATTTTTCAAAAAAACTATCGGTGGAACGAACACATACTTAAATTCAAAAATGACCTTATACCCCGTTTAAACATTATAAAGTACCTTTCACATAAAAGTTTCGCCCACATCAACACCCTTACTTACTTGGTAAAGACATTGGTGCTAAGCAAAATTGACTACGGTTTGTACCTTTTTGGGGACAGTCCTGTTTCAACTTTGAAACTTATTAAAGCCGTATACCACGATAGCATCAGGGCCAGCACATACGCATATAGAACTACTCCCATCAAAACCTTACTGATTGAATCTGGATTGCCTTCTCTCGAGCATAGAATTCTCGAGTCTAGGAATATGTTACTGCCTAAAATCCTGTCATCCAAGTCTTCCGTTATTAACACTGATGTATCGAAAATTTTAAAAACAAAACGAAAACCTAAAAAAAACATCAGTTGTTTACTATTCTATTAGGAATAACATAGTAAACTTTAGGGATAAGGTTACATGTTTTAAACCTAAATGCCCTTCATGGCTTTTTTCGGACAAATCGTGCGATACATCTCTCAGCATTCTAGGAAAAAATGGAACTTCAAACGAAATATACGCACACCATTTTCGATTTTTTTCCTTGCTGCACTCGTCTTGGCAGTTCTTATACACTGATGCCTCTAAAACAAACTCAGTCTCCGCATACGCAGTTGTTGATTCCAATGGCGATACTCTATCCATTAAAACCCTTGCTGATTTTTCATCTATCTTCACGGCCGAAGCTGCTGGCATTATAGAAGCTATCAATATTGCAATCCATTCACAACAAGAAACAATAATTATTTCCGACAGTTTATCGGTTCTAAAATCGGTGTTATGTACATCAAACAACAGTTGGGCTTCAATTAACAAAATTCGGGATTTGCTAACCGAGAACAACTACATAAAACTTTTCTGGGTACCTGGTCACGTTGGAATTGAAGGAAACGAAAACGCCGATAAAGCAGCAAAGTACGCCTGCACCGCTCCAGTGTTGTTAGATGGAATAATCGAAAAAATAGATTTAAAAACATTTATAAAACACAAACTTAAACAAAATGCTAAACAACAACACATGTTATTTGAACATGTGCACTATAACAAAATAAATCCTAACTGCATAGTGCCCGTCTATCCTACCAATGTACCTAAAAAGCAAGTGCGCATATTTTCGAGACTTCGAATGGGTCATACTATTGCCACACACCAACATCTCATTAACACAAGTTTTGACAACAAGTGTCCCAAATGTGGAAATGTCTACACAGCACAACATATTTTAGAAACATGCAACGCTTTCGACAGAGCCCGCCTCAACTACCTCAACAACGATGGAACGAATATTTTAATATCACCTACTACTGCCAATATTAATAAGA